ACCCTAAAGGATATTAGTCTTGAATATCCATTGGAAGAACAAATACTGAAGCTGAAACTCCAATACTTTGGCCACCTGATGCAAAGAACTGACTCATTTGACATACATTGACATGAATCAGCCATGGATATACATGTATTCCCCATCCCGATCCCCCCTCCCACCTCCCTCTCCACCCGATCCTTCTGGGTCTTCCCAGTGCACCAGGTCCGAGCACTTGTCTCATGCATCCAACCTGGGCTGGTGATCTCTTTCACCCTAGATAATATACCTGTTTCGAAAAGACCCTGATGCTGGGAAAGACTGAAGGCGGGAGGAGAAGGGGATGACAGAGGATGAGATGGTTGGATGGCATCACTGACTCAATGGACATGAGTTTCGGTAAACTCCGGAAGTTGGTGATGGCAGAAAGGCCTTGTGTGTTGCAGTCCATGGGCTTGCAGAAAGTCGGACATGACTGAGTGACTGAACTGAACTGAATACTTGTCTTAAGTGTTGTGTTAGTTTCTGCTGTATGATGAAGTGAATCTGTCATATGTATACATATATCTCCTCCCTCTTTGAACTCCTTCCCTCCCCACCGTCCCATCCCACCCATCTGGTTAACTACAAAGCATCAAGATATACAGCATATCCCTAGTAATAGCTATATCAGCTATTCCCTGAGCCATACAGCAGATTGATACATCCACTGTGGAGAATAATATAAAGGTTCCCTAAAACAGTAAAAATAGAACTACCACACAATCCAGCAATCCCACTACCGGACATATACCCTGAGAAATCCATAGTAAAAAAGACACAGGCCCTCCAATGTTCATTGTAGTACTATTAACAATAGTCAGGATACGGAAGCAACCTAAATGTCTATCAACGGGTGGATAAAGAAGATATGATACAGATATAAATAGAAAATTACTCAACCATTAAAATGAATGAAATTGGGTCATTTGTAGAGACTTGGATGGACCTAAATCTGTCATACAGAGTGAAGAAAGTCAGAAATTTCAACTGGTTTTCATTACATGTATAGAAGTAAAAGATAAACCAATAGAAAACAAGCTTGAAAGGGAGGAAATGAAATAATATTTTCTAAGATACAATATAGGCCAGTCCTAGAGCAATCATTGCAAAAATAAGTATACTTAATAGCTCAATAGTTAGTATAAAATATTCTACAGAAAGTTATCTTATTCATCCTAAAGAAATTAGCAAATTGGGAAAAATAAGAACAAATTCAATTAAAAAAAAAAGACGAAAAGGGCAGTTCTAAGCTACAAAACATTGATGATCACATTGAAGATAATAAATATTCCAAATTAAAAGCCAGATATTTTTATATTGGATAAAAAATAAAGCTGAACAATATGTAATTTAAATAATAGAAATGTACATTAAATACAGAGATATATGAGTTTAAAGGACAGAAAAAATAAAAAAAAACCGAAGACTTATAAGGCTGTACTAACATCAGAAAGTAAGTTCCAAGACAAAGAATCTTACTAGGAAATAATGTGGGGCATTTCATAATGAAAAAGCATAAGTTAACTAAGACAACAATACTAATATGCACTTAGTTAAAACAGAGTAGCAAAATACATGAAATAAAAACTTACAAACAAAAAGGAGAAATATACAAATTTATAATTATACTGAATTTTTAGGCTTTCTTATTTATTAAAAAAGTAAATAAACAGAAAATAAGTAAGGACCTGAATAATGCTACCAACTGATTTGACCGATATTTTTAGAACATTCCATTCCAAATTAGAAAAATAAAAATGAACCTATTTCTTAAATGTACAAGGAACATTAACTAAGGTGAAATTCTGGGCTATAAAATAAAATATTTAAAAAGCTAAATTCATGCAAAATATACTTTCTGATCGCAGAGAAATTAAATTAGAAATCAACAAAAAGCTATATGGAAAATAGTAAAACATTTGGAAATTTAATAACACATATCCAAATAACTTCTGCAAAAATCAACAATTTTTACAGAAACTAAAAAATGTTTTCAACTTTATGATAAATGGAAACACAACATATCAAATTTCTAAAATCATCTGAATAAGTGTTCAGAGGAAAATTTAAACTTTAAATATTCACAATAAAGACCCAAATCATTGATTTATTCTCAATCATTTAGATCTTAAGAAGCAACATTAAAGTAAATAGAAGAAAGAATATCAGAAATTGCTTAATTAGAAAACAAATAAATAAAACTAACAAAGCCAAAACTTGGTACACTGAATGTATTAATAAAATTGATAGATCCTTATCAAGATTCAAATTTGAGAGAGGGTGAAAAGAGAGAGAGGGTAGGTGAGCAATGAAAAAGGAGAATAGAGAGAGCATCAATCCACAGTATTTAAGAACAAAAAAGTCATTAATGCTCATCATTCAAACATTACAGTTAAACGTATTACAAAAGTAAGGAGATAGTGCAAATAAACATTTCATAATAAATTCAACAATTTAGATAGATTAGACAATTTCATTGACGGGCAAACACGAAAACTCCATTTACCACATGCAACAGCGAAGAAAAAAAATTGAATAAATATAAATTCATAACGATAAAAATAATTGACAGAGAAAACTCTAGGCACAGATATCATCACTGAATTCTAAAAGCATTTAAGGAAGAAACAGTACCAGATCTACCAAAACTACTACAGAATGTACAGGAGGAGGGAATATTTTCAAACTCTTTAAAGCTAGCATTCCTGATTCAAAAGCTGACAAAGACATTAGAAGAAAACTACGGATCAATGTTCCTCATGAATGTAGATGCAAATCCTTTACAAATGCTAGTAAATCAGATCCAGGGGCATCCGTGAAAAGCATAATATAAGTCCTGACCAAGTGGGATTTATACCAAGAATACAAGTTTATTTACCTTTGAATCTATTCACTAGAATTTACCATATTAACACAAATAAGAAGAAAGGAAACATATGATTATCTGAATACACTCAGAAAAAATATTAAACTATTAAAACAGATAAATGAAGAAGTTAGTAAGGTCATACGATAAAAGGATAACACATAAAATTAAATTTTCATATAACAAAATAGTTGAAAAATGAAATTTTATAAATCCATTAATAATAGTATAAAAAAACATTAAATACTCCAGAAAAATTTTAACAAAACATATGTTAAGGTCATACACTGAAAACTACGAGATATTGTTGAGGAAAATAAAGATATATAATGGAGAGGTATATCATGTTCTCAGAGAGAAACAAAGACTATTAAAATAGTTAACCTTTTCAATTTGGTGTATAGATTCACTGCATTTTCAATCACAATTCCAGTATAATTTTGTAGAAACTGACATGCTGATTTGAAAAGTATATGGAAAAACAAAAGGTCTGGAGCAGTGAAAACAATTTTGGAGAAGAAAAGGATATAATGTTCACATTATTTGACTCCAAGACTTTCTATAAGCTATTAGTAAAGACAGAGTAGTTTGGCTTATGAAGACATATAAAGAAATGGAATGACAAGGAGAATCCAGAATGGATGCACACATATAAAACTAACTGGAGAAAGGAAAGCTTTTTCAGTGAAAGATGCCTAGGTATTTTAATTTTACATATGGAAACAAATAAACCTCAACCTTCAAACCACACGCAATTTCTTTAAGACTAATTATAGACCTAAGCATACAATCTAAAACTGTAAAGCTTCTGGAAAAAAATTTTGCTCTCTAGATGTAGGACACAGTTTCTTAGAAAGCACTAAACATGAAATAAAATTTTGATAAATTATACATCACATACATTTAAAAGTTTTGCTCATCCAAAAGATGATATTAAGAAAAGGAATGAGAAAGTCATAAACTGGGAGAAAATATTTTCAAAAAAATCTATGACAGCAAACATATCAAAAATGAACAAATAACTTCTCTTAACAGTAACAAAGGACAAAGGGCACCATTTTTAAAAAGCAAAGAAATTTTACGAAAGAAAATATGGGAATGGTCAATAAACACACATGAAGTTGCCAAACATCATTAGTCATCACAGAAAACTGAAGTTAAAATGACAGTGAGGGGACTCTTAAACTCACTGCAGTGACTATAATGACAGATGGCAATATCAAATGTCAGTGAGGATGTAGAAAAACTGGGAGTCATATTCTTTCAGAGTGAGAGTACAAAATTATACAATATGAATAAATATTTACTTTTCTTATAAACTCAAATATATCAGTGCTGTTACCCAGAAATTCTACTTCTAGGTCATTCTCCACAAGAAATAAAAACATATATCCTCAAAAAGACTTACACATTCTCTCAAGAGAAAAACAGAGAAACAAAATATGATACGTTCACACATTGAATACTGCTCAGAAACAAAATGTATGATTTGCATAATACATATATGTGAGAATCTCAAAAATATTACATTTAGTGAAGGAAGTCAGACACAAAATACTATATTCTGTACAATTCCATTTATATATATTTCAAGAAAAGTCAAACATAATCCATGGTGATAGGGAGCAATTTTCTATAATGATGATAGTAGACTGAACAGAGATTTCTTCTTTGGGATAGTTTATTTGGATTACAAAGTTTTTATTTGGGCTGTTTCTGTTTAATTTTTGACATTTCTCTGGCTCAGAGAAAGCATATAAATGTGAAACATAACACCCCTTCTTCAATAACTGCCTCATTTCCTACTATATTTCAAAGGCATCAAAATTACAAATGAAACTATTCATTAAAAATAATTTTCAAACCAACTTTCAGCATTTAAACTCTTAATCATTATGATTTTAAGAAATTTGTGGATATCAAAGAGCATGAACAATTGCTAAACCTTTTTGTTAGAAACTCTAGTCGTAACTATTTGCCTATATGATGTGTGTATCATATTACTCATTATTTACCAAATACCGACCTTTGGGATGTAGATTCAAAAAAATAATCCACCTTGATACCGTTGACTGATTCTAAATCACAGATTATATAGATTGGTACTCACCAATTATTATTGGCTGTGGCTCACTTTTTACTCCAACTCCTGCACTGGTACTAGCTGCAACCTCTACCCGGTACTGGATACCTGGGAATAATCCACCAATGATTACAGAACGAATGGCTGCATCCACAGTTTTGTTGATGTGGAATCGTGTTTCATTCCCCAGACACCAGATCTATAGAAATGTAAAGTGAATATCAAAAGAATATAAAATTATCTTTTCTGGTAATTAGTTCATTATAATTGATTAAACCTTTTGGTAGTGACCAGTCTATTTTCTAGGCTTATTTGTAAATCACAGTTTTGAATGCCTAATTTAGTCTATTTATATATATACATATTTATGTATATTTGTGTGTGTGCCTGTGTGCACATGTGTGTTCGTATGTGTGTGTATTAAAGGAAAAATAAAAGAAAGTAAAACTATGCAGCATTCCTTTGTATTTTACAAGGAACACTGAATACTTGGGACCTCTTTGGTGGTCCAGTGGTTGAGTCCATGTTACCACTAGGGATTCAGGGGCATGGGTTTGATCCTGGTCAGGACAAAAAATCCTGCATGTTATCAGGAGTGGCAAAAAAACCTCAAAAATACCCCACACACTGAATTCTCACAGAACTATGATTCGACTTCCTCAACACCTCTGCAAAGTCTGGAAAATTGTCCTTGGTTGCAAACAGTATTTAGGTAAGGATTAAAATGCCTAAATTCCTCTGGTTAATTCATTTATCAAGATTTACTATGCATATAATATATTAAAATATGGTGATTATGAGTTGTAGTATCCAAAGTACATAGGTGCATATCTAAGTAATTTGTATTTCATTTAAGAAAATATTAACTTACACAGAAGTAGTTAACAAGATTAACTGACTAAAGTTATAGGTATTGACTGAGATAAAATTAAAGTCAATATTTACATTGACAGTAATAAATCTTAATATTGATCAAAACATATCTACACACAAATATACATGCATGAGAATGAACGGAGTGATGGGAAGTCTTTAAATACTGCTGTGAGGGACGCTGGGCTTGCACTTCCAATCAGAATTAAATTTAAAGTCATATTTTCTTTTGGGATATGAAAATCTGCTTGTAAAATGTGTTGTAAAAAATTCTGTGTACAGTTATTTCTATTATATAGAATTTATAATCTGCATGGGGAGACACAAGGAGGAACATCTACAATTTGTTTCTGAAATAGGTAAATTAATGATACTTTTTCTTTAAATTAACATAATGACTTTGAATTTCAGACTTCTTTTAGTCTATGAAACCTAAGTTACTAATGCAAGAATATTAAATGTTACCAAAATATACACATTTGTATCAAAACAGGACAAACTCATATGAGTGAGAAAATTTACAACTTATGAAAAATTATCATGTTGTGAAAAAAATAAATATTTAAATAAATGGAATTTGAAGATATTTAGTCCTAGATAATACAAAAGTAAAATCCTAAACTAATTAAAGCACAGACACACACACCAAGATAGATAATTCTTTGCTTTTAAAACAATGTGTCTTCGTTCAGTTCAGTCGCTCAGTCATGTCCGACTCTTTGTGACCCAATGAGCCACAGCACGCCAGGCCTCCCTGTCCATCACCAACTCCCAGAGTTTACCCAAACTCATGTCCATTGAGTCAGTGATGCCATCTAACCATCTCATCCTCTGTTGTCCCCTTCTCCTCCTGCCTTTATTCTTTCCCAACATCAGGGTCTTTTCAGATGAGTCAGCTCTTCGCATCAGGTGGCTTCAACATCAGTCTTTCCAATGAACACTCAGGACTGATTTCCTTTAGATGGACTTGTTGGATCTCCTTGCAGTCCAAGGGACTCTCAAGAGTCCTCTCCAACGCCACAGTTCAAAAGCACAATTTTTCAGTGCTCAGCTTTCTTTATAGTCCAACTCTCACATCCATATATGAGTACTGGAAAAACCATAGCCTTGACTAGATGGACCTTTGTTGACAAAGTAATGTCCCTGCTTTTTAATATGCTGCCTAGGTAGGTCATAACTTTCCTTCCAAGGAGTAAGCGTCTTTTAATTTCATGGCTGCAATCACCATCTGCAGTGATTTTGGAGCCTCAAAAAATAAAGTTAGCTACTGTTTCCACTGTTTCCCCATCTATTTGCCATGAAGTGATGGGACCGGATGCCATGATCTTAGTTTTCTGAATGTTGAGTTTTAAGCCAACTTTTTCACTCTCCTCTTTCACTTTCATCAAGAGAATCGTTAGTTCTTCACTTTCTGCCATAAGGGTGGTGTCATCTGCATATCTGAGGTGATTGATATTTCTCCTGGCAAACTTGATTCCAGATTGTGCTTCACCAAGTATGAATGTGTCTTAATGCTTATAAAATTTCAGAATTTATGTAATTATGCTATTGTAAAAGCACTTACCCTTATTTTCTTAGACACATTTCTTTATAAACTGATGGGAATAATTTTAAAATAAATTCTTATGCAAATTTAGTCCATTTGCTTCAGTAACTTAACCATTAACTTAGGAAAACTGTACTTCAACAATTATTTTCCCTAGAAGTAATAATGTTTTGAATAAAATTATTCAGCTTAATTTCACATACCAAGTATGAATTTCTGGGGTGAGGTAGAGTGTCTAGCTTTCTTTTCTAATAGATGTACTTAGTATGTTATTGTCAGAATTCTACAAATATTTATTAATGGCAAAAAAAAAACCCCATAGTTTTGAATTTTTACAAGGTTTAATGATATGTTTTACTCTCCCTTGTGATCTAATCACATCACAATTAATCAGAATCATTTCTCAAAGTGTTTTTCAAATGATGTCTCTCAAATGATGGTGAAGAGACAATGGATATATTCTGTTTCTAAACAGCAACAAATTCATCAGCTGAAAAATGAAAGCTTTCTAAAATTTGTTTTTTCAATGGCTCCCTTTTCTCAGGGCTTCCTTGATGGCTTAGTGGTAAAGAATCCGCCTGCCAATGCATGAGATGCGGATTCAGTCCCTGGATTAGGAATCCCTGGTGGCTGAGATGGTAAAGAATCCCCCTGTAATGTGGGAGACCTGGGTTCAATCCTTGGGTTGGGAAGATCCCCTGGAGGAGGTCATGGCAACCCACTCCAGTATTCTTGCCTGGAGAATCCCCATGGACAGAGGAGCCTGGAGGGGTCCAGAGGGTCGCCAAGAGTTGGACATGACTGAGCACCTAAGCACACAGCTCTTAAGTGAAATATTTTCCAGAAACTCAACAACTTGGCAAAAGCAGAATTTAGGGTGGGAGATGGTACTTCCTATCTCCATCCCAACAATACAAACCCGCAAAGCATCTTTTAATGAGAAAACATTTTAAAAATAGCTGCTCTGAGTCCTGTGGTCTTCCCCGGTAGCTCAGTGGCAAAGAATCCACCTGCAAAAGCCTGCCAATGCTTGTCAATGCAGGAGATAAGAGTTCCATCCTTGGGTTGGAAAAATTCCCTGGAGAAGAAACTGGTAACCCACTCTGGTATTCTTGCCTGTAGAATCTCATGAACAGAGGAGCCTGGCTGGCTACAGTCTATGGGATTGCAAAGAGTCGGAGGAACAAGACTTAGCAGCTAAACAGCATAATCCCATTACACAGGAATCTAACAAAGATGAAGACAGTTTCTGGGATAGGGCTTCACTATCTACCCTATACTCCATCTTTGTAAATTCCTGAGGTTCTACAACCACACTATATAAATATATATATATATATATATATATATATATATATATATATACATATATATGTATATATATATAAAATAACCACTGCACTAGTATGGTTTACTTGTCCAACTGAGTCTGTGCTATTTGTGAGCCTGGATTTAAGTTCTATGAATCTTGTGCATTTGCTTCTTTATGAGTCGCACAAACTCATAAAGTAAAGTAAGGTGTAAAGTCTATTTCTTTACACTCAAAACTCAGTAAGAGGCCACCAGAAATACTCCCCATCCACATGACCCTGAGACTTCTCTGGGAACTTTTATCTGTGAACCTTCCTTCTTCATCCAGGCCTTACCTTGTATTCCTGGATAATTCCATTCTGATGATCTGGAGGAGGAGGATCCCAGGAAACACTAATACTTGTGCTATTGTGGCTTCCAACAGTCAGCACAGTGACAGATTGTGGAGGGGCACTTGGGGCTGCAGAAGAAGTCATTAGAATAAACACAACTATAAGTCTTAATGTGCATTAATGCTGCTACAGAATATGAATATAAAGACAAGATGCAAGAGGTTCTTGTATCTAGTAGTTCTGAATTAACAGCGAGTGTTTAAAAATAATCCTTTAAATATAATGGATAGATTTAAAGCAAATAAAACAGCGACGGTAATATGTCCTCAACAATAAATTTAACAGTTAACATTCGAATGAGTGTCTCCTATATGTCCAGAATAGAGGTAAGAGTAAGATTTAATTTTCACAATAAAAATAAAATTCTCATGAAAAAAATTCACAGGAAATAAAAAACAACTCATGTTAGTTTTACAGATAAGGAAAAGGAAGCCTACTATAATAGACTTATCTAATTCAAACAGTGAGGGAGAACTTGAACCAGGTATGTCTGATTTTAGAACATTGACCTTCTGACTCTAATAGACTCCTCTTTTGAAAAACAAACAAGCAAAACAATAACAACAACAAAAACACTGCTATCAAAAGTATTCTGAGAGGATGCATTTCAAAATTTCACCAGTCATTATTTCTGAGTAGTAGCATTACTGACTATCTTTTTGTTTTGTTTTGGTTTGCGTTTAATACATAAAAACAAAAACATAGCTATAAATTTCACCAACAGAGAGAAAAGACAGTTTTGTTTTCATAATGAGAAACATAATTGATTGCTGCAAACTGATTCATAATTTAAGATTTGAAATTTATTTTACATTGATGGGCAAGGAACTCTGAAGATATTAATGAAAACAGTTCATGGTGGATCAAATGTGAAATGGACAGATTTTAATTTCCTACAGTTCTCTTCCTTTATGGTTTTTCCCAAAACTAATTATAATTATACTAAGAAAAGATGAATAGGAAATAATTCTTGGTTTTGGACAGTAGTAGTATCTCCTATCCAGTGTATTTGAGAGCTAAGTCATACTAATTTTCCTGGAAAACATCAATTCTCAGTATAACTCTGAGTTTAAGCCAAAAGTTGAAAAAGCAAATCAAAGCACTAACGCTTTGAAGCAAAAGTCATATAATTTTGAGGTAAGAAAGAATTTTTACATATAAGATTAATGTTTTCATAACTACATAATTTAGTTCTTTGAAAATGTGTACGCTTTAATCATAAAAGATATTTAAAAGCTTACCAATAAAGTTTCCCATGTTTGATAAATTATCACAACACATTTCATTGAAGTATGGTCAGTGTAGAAAACACACACAGACAAGTTACCACAATACTGCTCTTTATTACTCCTCTATGTGATAATGCTGGTCTGAAATGTGGCACAACGACATAAATCCAACTGTTTGCCTACTGGTTTTGTAGTCATTGAGTAGACTATATTGAAAAGTAACACTTTGGAGAACTGGTTTCTCATTTCCCTGACTGCTGGAGTGGCGAGAACACGGTGCCTATTTCCTGACAGGTCAATTATTACACAGATGTGAAAGAACCCCCTCATCGTTCCCAGACACAGCCCAGCTGAGTCCCATTTGTTCCCTTCAGAAGCCACAGATAGAGGAGATGAACGTAAATCTAATGGTGACAAATGTCTATTGCGGAGGAAAAGTCTAACTGCAGTGAAATTGATTTTTGGAAGTGTGCTTCAACATAGCATTCTGTATGAAATTTACCCACCCTACTCATTAGTTTTATACATTTTCCACATAAAGCAAAAGTTAATGGGAGACAAAGATCCTATTATTAATTTTTAGTAATCTTTTCTTTATAAATCCTAAAGGTCAAATAATGATGCCTTTAAAACTATGCACTTCTCCCATGTCAGTATATCACACTGTAAACCAATGTGAAGATAACCTTTCTCTGTGTTGCTAATTATAAGATATATATAATTTAAAGGCCCTTTGGTTGGAGATGTATATCTGTATGTTAGCATGAGCAACCTACACATATTTTCTTAAGGCTGCTTTTATACTGATTTATATAAAATATGTTTAGAAAAAAGGCTTTTTACTTGCAGGATACATAAAATTAGCAGAGAAGCAAAAAGGTGGGGATTTATACTTTGCATATGACGTTTTGTACTTTGATGATACCATCCATTGCCAACTTATAGTTTAGGAAAGGGGACACTAGAAAATGGACTGCTGCTGCTGTTGCTAAGTCATTTCAGTCGTGTCCGACTCTGTGTGACCCCATAGACGGCAGCCCACCAGGCTCCCCCGTCCCTGGGATTCTCCAGGCAAGAATACTGGAGTGGGTTGCCATTTCCTTCTCCAATGTGTGAAAGTGTAAAGTGAAAGTGAAGTCGCTCAGTCGTGTCCGACTCTTAGCAACCCCATGGACTGCAGCCTACCAGGCTCCTCCATCCATGGGATTTTCCAGGCAAGAGTACTGGAGTGGGGTGCCATTGCCTTCTCCAGAAAATGGACTAGTTGAGACTATATTAATTTTATGTCCATCGCAGATTGATTTTAAACTATCTGCAACAAGAAAAGTTACCAAGGGGAAATGGAGAGGGTATATCATTAAAAAGAATGCTATTGCAAACATTCAAATGGCCTTCTGGATTAGAAATGATGAATCCGACTGGCAGAGCACATAGGGAAGGAGGCTTATAAAAGGGAATGTCATGCTTTACTACACCAAAAACAAAGGAGTGAAAAATAACAGACTTTGTACTTGAGTTTCCATTAGTCTGTCCTTTAATGAAGCCAAATGAGCTAAAGCCATGTGTGAAAACAAAAAGGGAAAATACTATAATCAAATTCCAGGGCATAGGCAAACCACAAAATGGAAGATGTTACGTGCTCCATGACCGTGAGCACACAGCCCCAGGACTACTGGAGTCTAAAGACTGATATTATTAACCCCTGTGATTCCACCCTATTACCTCACCATCAGCCAGTAAGAGAACTGTGTATGAGCTGATCACAGACCCTTCGACTTCCCACCACCCATATCTGGCTTTATGCTTTGCTGAAACCTTTTGAGGAGGTCAGGGCTTTTTAAGGCATAAGCCACCCATCTCCTTGCACAGCCCTGCAATAAACCTTTCTCTGCTCCAAACTCTGACATTTTGGTATGTTTGGCCTCACTGAGCATCAGGCACACAAACCTGCACTAACAATTTTTGAGTTGTTAGATTATCTGGGCTTCTCAAAATAAAAGGAGAAAAACGACACTTCTTAGGTTGACTTTTAGAATTCTCTATTGGTACTCTTCTAAAGAAGATGATAAAACTAGAACTTCAACAGAAGTTGATTTCATTATGGTTTAAGGATGGTTCATGTTAGAGATCTGAATACTGACCTTCTTCAGTAGTACGGACTGTTTTAGATTCACTATCCATTCCTTGGAACTCATTAAAATATGGTCGAACTTTAATTTCGTAAGTCACCCCCTTTTTCAGATTGACTAAGACAGCACTTCTCTCAGTTGGGACTTTGGCATCTAAATTCTGCCATGCTGTTGTAGCCTGCAGGCCTGAAGTCTGACGGTACATCACTCGGTAGCCTTGAATAAACTGGGGTTGGCGATCAACCTACAAGACAAAGCAAAAAGCTTTTGAAACCAAATAGAAGTGTCCAAGCGATGCCATGTCTTTCTAATTCATCACCCTGCTTCCTCTTTCAGTTCTGAGTTCACATGCTTCCAAGTTGTTACTTCCAAAATGAAGAGTGGAACTACATCTCCCCCCTGTTTAAAACACTTCATAGTAGTTAAGATACTCATTAATTAAAATTCTTTGGATTAGCACAAAGTCCTGTCAATATTTCTAGTTTTGTTATTTATCTGTTTGTCCTTTTACTGTATTCCACAATTCTCGTTTTTGTGGTTTTATATGTAGTGTGCTATTTGTCAGGAATCTCCATTATCACCCCTTGTTCATTCACTAATACATTTACTCACTCAAATATTTTCTGAGTTCCTATTAAGAGGTGTCAGTTATTCTGTTAAACTCTGAGGATAAAAATGGAGAATGAAAGGAGGGTCAGTCCCTGGCCTCCTGGTGCATAGAGTTCAGGTAGAAGGTGGAAATTATCTCTTGATCACTCAAACATGGGCAAGTTACATTCATAACAAACAAATACGATGTTTGTTATGATGTTATGAGTGAGATGCACTAGCAGATAAGAAAGCCTAGAGTGGAGAGGAAGTTGATTGATCAGGGAGACAGTTTCCCAGAAAAAGAACAAGTGCTGAGATCTGCATGGAAAGTAAGATTTGTACAGAAGTAGAAAGGAACAGCATGTGTAAAATTCCTGTGGCTGGAGGAAGCATATAAAAGAGACTCAGAGTTGTGGAGCTAGAGCTCCTGTTTTAAAAGCATATGAAAAATTTATAGTGATTAACAGATATTAAATAAAAGACATTTATTAAGTTAACAACTTCAGGGTCCTCTAATAGTCCCACTGTTAGCACAATTTAACAGCTCTCTTGATTCTCTCATTCATTTGAGGTACGGAGGATAAAGAGCTGTTTTTAATAAAAATCTGAAAATTTGAACCTGAAAATTAATACCAAAAATCAAAAAACAAGTTCTTGTTTTACATTTATTGAATACTTTTTATTGGAGTTTTATCACTGTTTCATTTCAGGGAGAAAAGGACTTTTAGCTTTTTCAACATTTGAATGTCCTGCTAATTTTTAGAAATGCTTGACTTAAATATAACTATCACAACAGCTTCTTCAATTAATATTCCATGTGCTATAGTTTAATAGCAATATTCTAAGAAGTCTTTAGCTTGACATATTTCATTGTCAAATAAAACGTAAAATTCAATGGAGATGAGATGGAATAACCCTATTTTAGGAAGGCTGAGAAAAGAGAGAAAATAAAGGTGATGATGGAAATGGCTATTTCAGTTTTTTAAAAATGTCTGTATCCAACTGTTAACACATAGTAACACAAATGATACTCTTTCATATAATAACTTCTGGCATTTCTTTATTAGTTGCAGCATTTTAAGATACTTTTTAAGTGAAGACAGAAAATGTACAAATACAGAACCTCAATCAAAATACAAGACAAAGGGCTATGTTTTCGGTATGTAGAATGTTCATGCTAGAAAAATCCATAAAGTTGGATTTGCGTGAGCATGTGTGTTTCTAAGTATAGCAAATTCCGGTTTCACAGATGAGTCTCAACAAGTAAGAATTCCTTCACCCACATGACAGCTTTCTAACTCTTAAAGATTTGTGGAATTAGTACTACACTTGTATGAGGCTATGTCAAAGAAAAGTAAGCTCAGTTCTGATACCAAAGCTCACGATCTCTGAATGCTCATCCATGCTACCAGTTTGTGTTCATACCAAAGTACCTATTTATCGAAAAGCAGAAGTTCTCTTGACATTATAAAACAAGGAAACTAAAGTCTAAAAAGCTAAATTTATGAGAGCCAAGGAGAGATGTCTTTCATCATAACTGTCAATGTTTCAAAAAAATCCCTGCAACATATGTTAAAACAACATCAACCTTGCATTTTATAAACTTTTCTGCATTCACTTTAAGGGAATTTATATACTGAAAGAAAGACATAACTCACAATAATAGCTTGTTAATACTGAAAGAAGCAAGCTGTGTTTTTAAGAAGAACATTAAGCAGCTGTTTCCAGATGAAGGGAGTCTGTAAATCAGGGTAAATTGGTTTTATCCATGTTTGGTTTTCATTAATTAAGTGTTTTAGGACTTTATGAAGCTAATGTTTACTGCACATTGCTTTGCTCACTTCAGTGTATACTGCCTTCACTGTTGTAATGGCCTACTTAATAGCTAAATAACTTGATTTTGGGTGGTTGCTATACATACATGCTCTACATTCTTTTCAGAAGGAAAATTTGTTGTTACAGGTGAAAGCAAAAATGAAAATGCTGCACATCACATGTTCAAAAACAGGGGAGATTTTAATGAATACGTGTTTTACACCACTGATTTTGGTGAACATTTTGACGAGTCATCACTTTCAAGTTAAACCATATGCTTATCACTAGTTTTATTAACATTCAAATTAAGAAGATTTTCTTTTAGAGCCTATTATAATTGTGATGGGATTTCTAGGTGGCTCAGTGGTAAAGAATCTGCCTGCAATTCAGGTGATGCAGGAGAATGAGGGTTCGATCCCTGGGTCAGGAAGATTCCCTGGAGGAGGAAATGGCAACTCACTCCAGTATTCTCACTCTATAGGAAAATCCCATGGACAGAGGAGCCTGGTGAGCCACAGAACATGGGGTTGCAAAGAGTGGGACATGACTGAGCACTCACACACACAAAAACCATCTCCATAATCAGAGTTTGGCCACAAAACCATGGGTTTATTAAATTTTAAAAAATCGGTATTTTCTGAAATCTGAATAAAAGAGTATTAGGAACATGTGAAAAGAGTCTCGATATTCAGGTTATAAGCTCTCAATTGAGTGATGGTTTAGCTTTTAAATGTTTTGAGTCTGTTTACTTAATCTACACAAATAATAAAGCACCTTTCAAGTTTTAGAGTTGCACAATGATAGAGCATTGTTATGTAAGGGATATACTAAAAAAAAAAGGGAGTACATTCATGGCCCCCAAATCTGCACATTCATTAAAAGGTTAAAGCAAGACACTTAATATCTATCTATTGAAAATTGTAAAAATTCCGTTTATACTGAAAATTCAGAGTGAATTTCCTTTGGTGGGTCTAGCCTGCTGAGTAACAGATCTGGGTTTAACCGAGTTCTGAGATTCTAGTTCACCAAAGCACCCTTTCAACTCCAGTAGCTGTGACGTTTAAGGGCCAAGCGACCTGTAATTCTTGTCCTTGAATAAAAACAAAACACTCACACACACAGACTAGAATAATGACTTTAAAGTAAGAGATTTATTGCTACTTTCTTTGTGAAACAGTCGTTTGCATCATTTTTACCCACCCTCATTATAAGAGCAGTCATTTTAGAGAGTAGCCTTTGCTAAATTTTGTTGGTTTGAGATTAGACATGTGGGGTAGGCACATTGTTTTTCCAGTCCAAACGTCCTATGTGTTTGGTAACAGGATCCTGCCAACTATTGATAAACTACATCAGCTGAACCCTAATTGAAATACATGGGCTGGGGAATATATTTCTTTCCTCAAACATCAACATGCCTGAAATTTAAGTACTAACAATGTGACAACTCACAGAACATACACAATTAGCAACTTGAAAATATGACATGAAATATTTGGTTATAATTTCTTTGATCACAGATCTGCTCTCCAGTCTAACTTTATTTCACTAAGTTTACTTCTCAAATATATACTTACCTCACGTGTAAATACAAATTTATGGAGAATTTGTAATGTAGTCAAACACTTTCTTAAAAAAAAATTAAAATGTATGAAGACAACTGATTTGATCATTCAATGGACAGTTATTGAAAAAGAATTTCACAATAAATGTTCTGCTCTGAGAAAAACAGAAGTGAAAACTTCAACTTTGGACTCACAAAACTCAAGTTCATGAGGGAGAGATATGTAGACTAGTAATAACACGGTTCTTGGGATATAAAGGTGAATATGACAAGGTCCCTCTCCTGGAAGAACCCAGACTACTGACCTACAATTCTGAGCTACTTTGATTGATTCTTTTAAACTCTGTGACTTTTAAAGTGATTAATTTCATAAACATAATGACTTTGATTCTTTACCCAAGTCATCCCCACATTTAGAAGCAGCTTAAAAAAGCAAACCTTTAAAACTCAGAATAAAGCAGAGAAGACTTTTTTCAGGGGAAAACGAGGAAAAATCTGATGTTAAAAATACAAGCATTTCCTTGGCTTTATTATTGAATAGTCTTGTATTGAGCCAAAGCTACAGAAAGATGGAAGAGGCATGGCAGGTAATACCCTTTCTGTGCCACTGGAAAAATGATGAGGTCATTATGTCCCTTCATGAGAGCAGAAAAATAGAAACCATTGTATGCCCAAAACAAAATAAGTCAATGTGAAATTATACAAAAAATAAAAGTAGAAACAATGCAACCTTCAATAATCACAGCTACTCTTAAAACAGTTAAAGCACTACCCAGCTTTGTACTCTCAGACCAAACATTTGACTGGTCTAATTTAGGGAGCAACAACATGCTCCGTCCAAAGTCATATGTTCAAATTCCACTATTAAAAGGTATTTCTTCCAACTAAATATTTGTCTACAGTTTAAAGAGAAAAACAAAGAGCAGGTCTACAAAAGGAAACTCTAATCCCATTTTTACCTATACATAGATGTAGGATCCTGGAAACATTGTTCAACCTGTCTCCATTGGTTTCCTTTTACAATCTACCGTTGTTATTCTTTTTTTTCTTTTTCTTAAGGAATCTTTTTTTTTCCCTTTATTTTTATTAGTTGGAGGCTAATTACTTTACAATATTGTATTGGTTTTTGCTATACATTGACATGAATCAGCCATGGATTTACTCCCCACCCCATCCCTCTGGGTCTTCCCAGTGTACCAGCCCTGAGCACTTGTCTCATGCATCCAGCCTGGGCTGGCGATCTGTTTGCCAAGTCGTGTCCAACTCTTTGCAACCCTGTGGACTGTAGCTTGCCAGGCTCCTTCTGTCCACTGGATTTCCCAGGCAAGAATACTGGAGTGGGTTGCCATTTCCTTCACCAGGGGATCTGCCCGACACAGGGATCAAAGCTGCATCTCCTGCACTGGTAGGTGGATTCTTTACCACTGAGTCACCAGGGTCTCTCCTTAAAAATATAACTGGACTAAAGAGCCTTAAATGTTAATTCAGTTTCTTCTGTTCTAATACAATAATGCCTCCATATTTCCCCATATAGATGTAGAAAAGTGATAATCATGTTTCTGACACCTGAGGACAGAGTTAATTACTTCTTCTTTGATGGACGCCTCTGTTTATAAAATGTGTATATATATATATACCTATCAGTTATGGGTTTTATCCCTGTGTACCATCATTAAGAAGTTCTGTGTTTTTCTCAAGTAGATTTGTGTCTCTTTAGTGTTTTCCAACATTTACCCCAAAACTGGTCCTCAAAAAATGCTTACTGAACTATGTTTACTCAATGGATTTATTATCAAGAAGACCTTGGGATAATTCCCTTCATTGTGTTTTATAATTCAAACATTATTGATTAAGAACTGATGAAAAATAACCAGTTTTCTGATCTCAGTATCTTTTATTGAGGAAATTGATGGAAATAGGTGAAATAAGTTATTAACCTAAAGTAATCTGCATTGTAAGCAGGTAACATCCTTTTTTTCAAACTTACTCTTCTACTACCACAAAAACAATACCACCACCAACAAAAACAATAACAGAGACATAATTATATTTTCTAATTAATATAATTCTTTCTAATCAATTACAATTGATATAATTCTAATATTATAATTAAAAAAATGTTTCTAGATATCCCTAGGTCAAATGACCATTACTTACACAACATACAAGATCTATTAACAAACAGGGGGCTATGAAAAGTTGTGCTCATTTATCATCCTTACAGAATTTTAAAAGCTATAATAAAGAGATCTTGAGCATGAATGAAAAGTTGACACTAAGTGAATCAGGCAGAAGAAAGCACATTATCTGTGTCTTCACAAAACACAGACACACAGACTCAAACACATATACAAAGGCTAATAATCTCTAACATGAATAATATGGATATTTTTATGCTAGCTATTGTTTTCATTGCAGTGACTATCATGTGATGAAAACATTTTTCATTGTGAAATAATAGTGGGTAGGTTGATAGTCAATAATGCATGGAATTGGACATTCATAGCATATATTAAAATATCAATCTATTTCTTAAGATCCATTAATTTTTACTATAAAGTAATTATTAATTAATTAATTACTATGTAATTAAAATTATATACTTTTTTGGTACTGCTGGATAATATTCAGCTCCAAGAGTATAAAGCTAAGTGATTTAAATTTAGAAGAAAAGTTCAAAATTAAATTTTTTTGTGCTTCAAGTAACATCATTAAGAAAGTAAAAAACATCACACAGATTGGGAGAAAATATTTACAAATCACACATCTGATAAAGCATCTGCACACATGTACAGAACTCTTATAAGACTATACTAAGAAGACAACTCAGTTTAAAAATGGGCAAAGAGTTTGAACAGACATTTTGCTAAAGAAGATACACAAATGCTCAATACATACAGGAAAGATTCAAAATAGTCATTAAAGAAATGTAAATTAAACTCACAGTAATATACCATGCATACTCACTAGAATGGCTACAATCAAAAACCCAGGATGACAAGAGTTGTTGAAGATGTGAGAGAAACTGGAATCTTCAAATATTGCTATAGGAGCATAAAATTGTGTAACCTCTCTGGAAAACATTTTGGTAATTCACCCAAACATTAAGAGTTTAATTCAACAATTCCTAAGTATACATCAAGAGAAATTAAAATATATGTGGATGTGGACACAAATGTTCATGACACCATTATTCATAATGGCCAAAAGTGGAAAGAACTCAAAGACAAATTAGCTGATAAACGGCTAAACAGATGTATGTGATACATCTATACAATGGAATTCTACTCTGTAATAAAAAGAAACAAAGTACTGATGCTTACTACAACTTGGCTGAACCTCAGAAGCACCATGCTGAGTGAAAAAAGCCAGACATAAAAGGTCACATATTGCATGATTTCATTCACATGAAAGCAAGAGGCGCATTCATACAGAGCAGATTAGTGGCTGCAAAGGGCTAAAGTCAGGGGAATGGAGTGGCTGCTCAAGAGCCCAGGGTTTTACTTTGGGATGAAGAAATATTTTAAAACCAGATTCTGGTGATGATTGTATAACTCCACAAAGATACCAAAAATGTTGTGTTGTATACTTTAACTCTGGTGTGTTAATACATCTCAATAAGACCATGTTAAAATTCAGGAGACAAAACATATTATTTATATTGCAATCTATTTTTATTCTGTTTATACTTTTACCTATTGAATTTTTTTTCTCTTTTTTGCCTTTGATTTACCTTGACTTTAAGTGGTGAGGGTTTTGATTTTTGGTTTGTTTGCTTTTTTCTTCTCTGGTTTGTTTTCTCAACGGATAGCCTTTTCTCAACCATTAGGATAGCCTTTAAAAACTTACCGTCCACGTGACTTGAACAGTGGTGGGAGTCAATACAACTGGAGCATGAAGGCGGACAAGGACGTCTCCGAGTTCTTTCTGGACTTGTCTGTGGTCCACTCCTTGTGCTGGAGGGCTGATATCTATAGGGATAAATGGTTCCAATCCTTAAAAATTCACAGTGCAATTCCAGTACATGTTATATATGCCAATATTACACCATTAGAAACAATTACAGGGGGAAAATTAAAAATCCTTTGTGATACACAACATTAAAGAATATTTATATACATACTACCACTTTAGGGTATAAAGTGAGATTTATCTTCACTAAAATAATATTAATAAAAGTGTTGGCGACCCCTTCTCCCCATTCAGTGCATTGCTCTGAAAGATCTATTACTTTCTTACTAAAGGCTAAAGTGTGGGCTGTAAGACTTCTTTAGGAGCATCAGGTTAATACAGATGTTGACACACTGAAGGACTTTCACAAGTAGTTACCGGGGCCAGATTTGAAAACTGCTGTTTGGAATTTGTTCACTCCCTTTTCCCAATTAGTAGGGTTGTGTGTCCTATTTCTGAACCTATTTCAGTCTGGGAGAGTGGAAGAGAAAGTAAACAGGGGGCCTGGGAGTGAATTATGTGACTGTGTGTGTGTGTGTGTGTGTGTGTGGGCACTCAGTTGTATCTGGCTTTTTGTGACACCATGGACTGCAGCCTGCCATTAAAGGTAAATAAAATGAGGGAAAGAAGGGGAAGAATCCTCCCAAATTCACACAAAAGAATTCTGATGACCAATTTAACACACTGATAAAATGTTCTGTGTAAAATTCTGAACAGTACTCCAATACTGGACAAAAATAATGCTGCTGATTATTTGAAGTGATTGTTGGGGTGAAAAGAATTGCAATGTTTAGAATGATATACTCTCACCACAATCTGTTCTGATCATTTATTCACCATTCACCTAAACATTGTTCTATTTCCCATCCAACAGTTTATACCCTATGTGTCCATTAAGGAATAAAATAAGATAAATTATAGACATCCAAGTCCATCAAACTGACATCAAACACTGGATTTCACACAGATTCATATCAGCTTCTTCAAGTGGTACACTGCAATGTTAAGTTGATTTTTTTCTCTAATCACGTTATTTAAGGAAGGAAGTACAATTTAAAATGATTTATTTTCTTAATCTTGCCTTCTCCTAATTTCTCAGGCCACAACGCATTACTCTTGCAAATATATTTTTAAGTGCCTATCTCAAAAATAATTTAAACTGGGTGCATTAACTTAAATTGGAACATACGAAATTTAGAACTGGGCTTCCCTGGTGGCTCAGTGGAAAAGAATATCCCTGCCAGTGCAGAAATTAGGAGTTTGATCTTTGGGTCAGGAAGATCTCCTGGAGAAGGAAATGACAACCCACTCCAGTAATCTTACATGAGAAATCCCATGGACAGAGGAGCCTGGCAGGCTACAGTCCATGGGGTCACAAGAAAGTTGGACATGACTAAGCGACTAAACAACAACGATTGGTCACTACATTTTGGTAATTTTTTTCTAGCTCTACTTCTTTTTCATCTTTAATATAACTTTAATATAAACAGCAGAAGGAGTTTTAGACAACATACACAATATATGTACCAACATATCAATATATGTATATATTATTAATATCATGTGAATGCTACTAGTCTTTGCTAATATATCTATGGTTTACTGTGATATGGATGGTACAAGTATTTGCTGACTACTGAAATAAAAAATTTGTAAATTCTATAGCATTAGTATCTTCAAAAAATAAGAGCTCACACTGCCAAGTGTTCTTTGCAAAGAAGTGCTTGGCAGAATGCAAAGTTGCTTGAAAGTGTGGTGTCAAAAATGATCCTGACATTCAGACACAAAACATGAGTTTTTCTATTAAATATCTGTTAAGGGAGCATAAGTCTTTTGCTCTGTATGGTCTCTCGACTGGAACAAGCCAGATCACAAACAACTTTTCATTAATCTTTGTTGACCTTTTCACAGAGAAGTTATTTTATGAGTCAAGATTTAGTGACTGGCACTGTTACTGAATGATCAAGAAGGGCCGCCAGATTTAATCACACCAAAAGTCTTCCCCATTCTGTGATCTCCCCACTTTCCATTGCAGTGATGCACAAAACCTTTCTATCTTTACAAGTAAAAAATGATCTGAGCACCACAATTTCTTAACTTAAAAACCATACCCCTCTTTTTTTTTTAAGTTCAATAATTAAATTCACTGATTAATTCCACACACATTAAAAGCAAGTGGATCCAGGCAAGGTGAAATAGAACCAATTTCAGGTCTTCAGATTCCTTGTTGTACTTTTTCTTTCTCTCGAGGCAGGTTCTTTACCTACAGGCCCTTTATCATCATGGAAAATTAATCACATTACTTCTTAGAGAACAATAGCAAAGTGGCATCCCCTCTTCCCCGGACTGTCATCATGTCAGCAACGTTGCAAAACCACGTGGTGACTTTATTTGACTTGATTCCTTTAAGGCGCCCTTCTCTGTTATAATGGCATGCTAGTTACTATCACCAGGCTACATTGTAATTATAATAATATTTTATGGCTGTATGGTGCTTTTCATAGCATAAAAATACTACTTTGAATTATATCTTGTTCAAAACCTTTTACAAATAAGAAATAATTAACCCTTTCTCAAGAACCCTGTGGGAAGTAAGTCGTAACAAATAATAAAGCCACCATTTCTATTTTATTAATTCCCATCATCTACTAGTAACAAGGGAAATTTAACATCCCATATTAACCCCTAGACTCCAGCAATTTCTAGTGTGAAGAGACAGGCTACTAAAGATGAGATGGGGAATCTTCCATTTCGATCTTATAATATTATAGTTTTTTTTTTTATTAGTCAAAAGCCATCACATACCTCAGGAAGAAAGCTTGATTTACAGCTTCCTGAAACAAGTTGTTGCTTTAAACATCTGGTTTAATACCATTTACTGTAAAGATGCTTGTCTGACGAGCATGAACATTCCTGGAGGGCACTTTAACAGATTGCTGGGTACCACCCCCAGAGCTTCAGAGTCAGGGCCTGAGATTTTTTTCTAATGTAGCCCCAGGTGATGAGATGCTGCATTTAGGAAGCACACCTTGAGACCCACTTTGCAATCAAAACACAATTCTTGAACCATAGGAAGCATTTTTGATATCCTTCACAGGGATCTTATCCATTAACGTTCACTTTTCATTATGGCAGAATTAATTTCAAAGAAGGAGAAGCATTTTCCCTTCCTTTGAAATATGGGAAAATCCTATGTGCATGTGTCCTCCATCTGTCAGACTCTTCATGACCCCATGGACTGAAGCCCACCAGGCTCCTCAGTCCATGGGATTTCCATGGCGAGAACACTGGAGGTTGCTGCCATGACCTTCTCCAGGGGATCTTCTCAACCCACGGATTAAACCCACATCATCTGCACTGACAGAGGGATTCGTTACCACTGACCCACCAGGAAAGCCCACCAATTACATATCTTTAAATCTCTATTATAGAATTAAAATGATGACCAATAAGTTTTGTTGTTGTTGTTTAGTCGCTAAGTCATGTCTGACTCTTTTGTCACCGCACAGACTGTAGCCTGGCAGGCTCCTCTGTCCATGCCTGTCCATTTCTTAACAGGCAAGAATACTGGAGTGGGTTGCCATTTCCTTTTCCAGGGGATTCTTCTGACCCAGGGATTGAACTCATGTCTCCTGCATCGGCAGGTCGATTCTTTACCACTGAGCTACGTGGGAAGCCCCAAAGCCCTACAGTTAAGCCCTATCTTAAATTCCTATGTAATTGTACCAAATTATTATATTTCATTTTTACCAAATAAACCCTGACAGCTCCGGAAAGAAGCTATACTCACTAAGGTGAACGACAAGCTTTCTTTTCTTTCACTGAACCAGGTCTAGTGAAACATCTTAATATGCAATGCAGATGCATTTATCGTTGGTCCTGCCATCCCTTTGTCCTTAAAGACATGTTTGATGCCTCTTTCTAGAACCAGTCATGTTTAGAGTTAACTGAAATTACCTTGGGTGCGCACAGGGTCTGACATAGCACTCGGGTCACTGAGACCTTGGGGGTTGATTGCTCTGACCATGAATAAATAGATTGTATTGGGCCGCAGTCCTCTCACTGTATAGAGGGTGGTCTTTACGTGATTTGCCACTGTCTGCCAGCTATTGCTCACCGATTGGCTGAAACGGGAACAGAAATTTCATTTAGAGAACCGTCACGGGGGTCTTGGAAATGGAGTTGGATATCAATGACAAAGGTTAATGGCTGAAAATTAAACACACAAACACACAACGCTTGAAGTGTTCAGCCCAATAAATGAAACATTTGGATGGTTTCAGTCTACTCCACAACAAAGCCGAGCCCACCTAACGGAAGTGCCATGCACAACAAAATTAAACTCAGCCCAGGAGATGTGAGAGCCCTTTCCAAAGCACAGCAGCCCATGAATGAATACCTGTAAAAGGAACAGGGGCCAAGATCACAACATCAAGTTTATACAATAAATACGGTCCTCGCAATGTTTATATATACCTTGAAAAGAATTAACCTGCAGAAAGAATAAATGGGCTACAGAGTAAATTATGCCAATACATTTTCCTGTTACAAGTTGTGTTTTCTTTTGCATCAATTCCACATGCAATATTACAATAGAGCCTTCTAAAACTACATATCTGTAAAAGAAGAAAGGAAGCATGTAATGAATATTTTCCCTTGGTCACATTTTTAATAAAATCGTACATTACACAGAATGGTGATTTCACATCTCAGAATAGTGAAATATCTCCGACTGTGTGTGCAGACCCCTTAACAGATAGGATGCCCTTTCACAGCCCTTGGTCTAAGGTCACATGCTACTTTTGCTTAGGAAGAGGAGAAACTGTGATTTTTCAGAGCTGTCTGATTTTCAGAAGTCCTTATACCTCAAAGCATGAAAATTACAGAGAAACACTTGTGAAATTTGAAAACCAGGTACTGATCATTAACTTTAATAGATCAGGGAAATCTAAAATGAAAGTGATGATTTGTCCTTACATTTAAAAAGGAGAGGTGCTATCACTATATTTATAATGGCAAATAGAAGCAGTTTGAAACTGAATATGAAGCTACATTTTCTCATTAGTATAACAATTTTTTCAAATTCTCATAAGACAGTTTTATACCAGTATTGACTAATTTATAGTCTATATGCCTAAGGTGAGGGCAATTATTCCTAATAACGATTGGATCTAACTTTTCCTTTCAGCCATCAGAAGTGCTTGTAATCAATCTCTTTCATTGTAGTTTTTAATTTTCTCTTGGGGATAACCAATATATGTAGTGAAATATATAGCATAAAACACTGGAATTATTTCAAAGTCTTCTCTAATTATTAGGAAGTAAAGTTCCAAGTTTCCATGCCTCAACTTGTGTAACTTAAAAAGTGCTTGTGCCTAATTAAATCATGTCCTTCTTAGTTCTAAAGCCAAAATTCTCATCTTAAATCCCTACAATGGTCAGGCTAAAGAAAAGAGCTAAGCGATGATGTCATAACTAGATGCCTATATACATAGGCAAGGATGATGCATATTTAATGTTATAATTAAGGTATGAATGAAAAATACACCCAAAACCTATTCTTGAATAAAGTAAAATACCAAAGATAAATTCTTAAAATGCCCTGATTAAACATGTCCTTAGAATAAAACAGCAGGATAGCTCACTTGAGATTTTAGGATATAGGAGCTAAAGCAAAAACTCAATGGAGATAAACGAAACTGTCTCGTACCTGAAAGCCTCAATGATATATGCACTTGCTGGAAGGATTCCAGGGGCTCCTGGTTGCCAGGACAAAGTGACACTGTTCTTAGTCACATCAGTGACCTGTGGTTTGGATGGTGGTCCAGGTAGGTCATTTAAATCATAATTTTTACTGATTGCTGCTCCAGATTCTATAGAGGACAAACAGAAAAAAATTCATTTCTGATTGCGACAGTTGACAACAACGCTTAAAAGACAGAAAATAGCCTATTAAAGAATTTGAATAGACGGCAATTTATCTTCATGAATCAAAAGTATATGTGAATATTTGTTTTTTCCCTATTGATCAGAAAATATTTACTTCCACACGTGATCACTCAAACTGCTTGTTCTTGAGTCAGAGAAAAGAGTAAGATTATCAAGGACAAATGTATCAAATTTCATATATGCAACGCTATGCGCCAAGCAGGGTAGAAATGAAAAAGTGACATAAAGCTTAATTTTTACAATCAATAAGTTTAAAATCTTGCTTTCTCTTTAACTTGTTATCTGATAATGAGCTAATCACTAAAACTGGCTCAAGATTTCTTCTGTTAAAATAATTCACAAAGAATTCACCTGTCACATCCAGCACAGCACTCCAGGAAGTCTCCCCACTTGAACTTGTAGCCACACAAGTATAAGTGCCAGTATCAGAAATCTAGTGTTCATGGAAGGGAGAGAATAAAACGGTTTTAATTGATTTGTAAAATGACTACTCAATCTCAACAAGGCAATATTTGACTTCTAAAATGTGATATATCATTTGGCTGTTGGAATTATACACTAGAGTAAATCATACATACACATGATATATTAAAATAAGCTCATAACAGTGGTTCAAAGATTCTTATTCTATTTCTACAACTCAATGTTCTTTGTCTGTAAACTTTAACAGTTTTCTATTTGCCTCCATGGCAATCCCCTTATCTGTTAACTCCATTTTATATTGGGGCTTCACTGTATCAGAGTTAGATATGGATAACTCAGGAGAGAATTTTTCAGAATCCTATAAACATCCACACTTTCTTGGTAGCTCAGACAGTAAAGAATCTGGCTTCAATGTCAGTAGTGTAAAGCTGTCCTCTTTGCCATCAATAAACTGTATTTCACAGGATAAAATATGCCCGGGAGTAAATAAGCATTCAGATACCATGGAGGTGGGGGGCAACACTTCTTTTTTTTTTTAAAGGTATGGATAAAAGTGAAAAGGGAAAAAAAAAACTTTTTTAAAATGGAAAACTGAATCTTTCCTTTTAAAGAGTGCAGTACTCACATTAAAGGTGTAACAGTGTAACAGTGAATGAAATAAAGTTGCATCATTAAAAACAAATAAATTATACCTATGGAATCATTGCAATACAGAGCTAAAAGGGTCACAGAACTTAATTAATAACATAACACTTTTAAAAGTATACTTAAAACCATCATTCACTGATTACTTATGTTTAGTTCAGTTCAGTCACTTAGTCGTGTCCCCCTCTTCGTGACCCTCATGGACCACAGCATGCCAGGCCTCCCTGTCCATTACCAACTCCCAAGAGTTTACTCAAACTCATCTCCATTGAGTCAGTGATGCCACCCAACCATCTCATTCCCTGTCATCCCCTTCTCCTCCTGTCTTCAATCTTTCCCAGCATCAGGGTCTTTTCAAATGAGTCAGCTCTTTGCATCAGGTGGCCAAAGTATTGAAGTTTCAGCTTCAGCATCAGTCCTTCCAATGAACACTCAGGACTGATCTCCTTAGGATGGACTGGTTGGATCTCCTTGCAGTCCAAGGGACTCTCAAGAGTCTTCTCCAACACCACAGTTCAAAAGCATAAATTCTTCGGCGCTCAGCTTTCTTTATAGTCCAGCTCTCACATCCATACGTAACTACTAGAAAAAACAATGCCTTGACTAGATGGATCTTTGTTGGCAAAGTAATGTCTCTGCTTTTTAATATGCTGTCTGGGTTGGTCATAACTTTCCTCCAAGAATTAAACGTCTTTTAATTTCATGGCTGCAGTCACCATCTGCAGTGATTTTGGAGCCCTCAAAAATAAAGGAAGCCACTGTTTTCCTCATCTATTTGTTTATATGTTAAGTAGTTAGAATAGGAAACAGGAGTCCAGAATGGTGGTGGCTAAAAGACAGGGAAGGGAAAAGCCCACGAAAATAGAACAAAGGAAGGTTTGAGGAGTGGAGTGAGGACATCAGGTAGAACAAACAGCACCCCTGGATAGCCCAATTTACATAGGGCAGGCCCAGGGGGAGGAGAAAAAACATATAAAAAAGAGGAGCCAAAGGACCGGGATGCTCTCGCTCTCTCCTCCCTGTATCTTTTGGGTCAGCATGCCCTCATGCCTCGAGGATGTATTTTCCTTTATTTTCTAAATAAAACTGAGCTCTAAAATGGAGCTGCAACACTGATCTTTCCGAGAGCTGAGGCACGGTCTGTCTGAGAGCTGTGACATGTCAAGGGCTTTAAAGTCCGTCACTTCAAATTTTTGTTGTGACAAGACATAACTGAGTTAATCATACACTCCACTGGCACTTAAAACATTTTTGTTATTCATTAACTAGTGGTAAAAGATTTGAGGAATAGTTAATAAAATAATCAAGAGCTCTCTTTGTTAAAGGCCAAAGATTCTGTGATTATATCTTGACAAAAACTCCAACATCAGTAAGATGTAAATTAAAAGCCCTCCCTGTGGTGGAGCCCCATGGGCTGACATTACAAACAACATTCATTCACATTAGTTTAGGCATGAAGGAAAAGTGAGACTGGGAAGAGAAACGGATGACCAGAGTAAGGCAAAGCAGAAGATACAGAAGTAAAATTCCGTGATGAACATAAGTCTATTTGTTGATAAAATATGAGTGCATGGACTATATAGTATCTGCTGGGTTCAAAATGTAAGTGTATTGATGACTCAACCTTCCACAATTGATTCTTGGGTAAATCAGTAGTACCTAGATGTTACTGTGGTTCCACCATTTTAATTGATTTTAAATGTCATTGTGTATTTTAACTTAAGTTTCAAATTGCTCTGGGATGTCATTCTTTGCTATATTATCTCTGTACAATTGTCTTCTATTATGCCAATGGATGATGGGGGACAGCCATTATAGAAAAAGCCATTTTTTCAGATGTGGCTATGCACGCATTACAGTCATTAGAAATCTTTGCATTTAAGAAGTATCACTCACAAACTAAATATAATGAGTCGAGGTTGGATTTTAATGGGATGTTCATTTGAATATGGTCTGTGAAAGAGTAAAGAATTTGCATTTTATTATAGCAGTTGAACTAAAATGTAGCACTTGTTATTATGTGCAAATGCTAAAAGAAGAATAGGTAGGTAATGCCTCTTAACTGCATCTCCTTGTCATTATGTGGAGATACGAGTTTGACATTAGCTGTGGTAGGTAGGTTTTAATGAGTATTAGAATATTCTACTTCCCAAAAGAAACAGATTCAGTTACCAATTAGCTAGACCATAAGAATATGGTGCGCAGCACACAATTTTCCCCCTTTGCTTAAGTGCTGAAAAAGAAAGTGAGACACAAAGAAATATGACCTACGGAAACCCTCTTTTGACGGTATCAGTGAAGTACTGTAAAACATTGTATTTCCTGTTAAAGTCATCTTACAGAAAAAATAACAACATTTTCATTATGGAGTTTTATCAGAAGTGATATGAAAAGCCTAAATATCATTACTAAAGCTTAGTCTTGTTTCACCAGCATCATTACCACATTCATTTTTATTCCTTAACTTTAAATAATATATTTTCTGGTCATGAGTGTTTTGTGTCTTTCCTATCCTTTTCCTCTTATTTTTAACCAAGTGTTTTAAAAAAGAGACAATGTGATGGCACACTCTCACCTACTTTTCTCCTTGTGTAGTTGGCTGAAGACAAGCCCCCAGATGTAGGCATCTATGAAAGACTACTTAGAAGCCTGACAGAGGGCTCAAAGTTTCTTTGACATCATCAAGCACCCACCTTTTATTACTAATTTTAAGCACTACTGGGGGTCTTGACTGTTCAAATACACCCTTTAATACATCAGCACAGTGGAAATGTATTATCATCTGTGGCTCCAAAATTCTGCCTTTGACTCAAAGAAAGAGGCTAAATTGTTTACTCAAGGAGAGTTAGCATTAATTTTTAAATAAATCCCATTTTATTGAAAGAAGGTCTAGAACTAGTTTATAATTAACAAAGGTGAAAAACCTGTACAATTTTTCTTCAAATAAAATTTGACAGCATTTTGTCTACTTAGAGCAATGCCTGTCCCAAAATTAAAATAAAAATTATACACATTCACTTTAATAACAAGTTAAAGATTTGTGTTTGTGCATGTGCACACTACAAAAAAGTTATTCTTCCTTTTTGTTAGGTATCTGTATTTGACATATCTGATAAACTTGTGATTGCAAATACTTTTCTCCTTGTGAAAAAAACTGCCTGTGGTGATCATTTGAAAATACATGTAATAACTATTTTATCTTATTCCTCTGGCTTCTGAATGGGAAAATTCAACATCTTTTTGTTTGTTTCTTTTTAATCACCTTGGTTCCCAATTTACACCTAGATACCAGATTCTACCAACTGTTTTTTCACTGAATCATTTTCAATCAATATTTCTTCATGTACTATCACATCAATCACCCTAATTCAGGCCCTCTTTCCCAGTCTTATGACTATTCTGACATAGTCTGGAGCTTTAGCATAGTACTTGCTATATGGAAGGGAGGCTTTCTATATTTGGTTGAATGAATTGAATATACTTGCGTAGGGCAGGTGGTCCCCATGACAACATCCTTCCGGTATTGACACCTTGTATAACCACTCACCTCAAATGTGTGAGGGACCTATTGACTTACTCCTGGCCAACAGAATATAGCATGGGTGACAAGATGTCACATTTGTAATTGTTATATAGGGTAGTAATCCTGTCTTGCTAAAGGACCGTCTTCCTTGTTGATTTTGAGGAAGCAAGTATTGGGAATATCCACAAGGTAAGGAACCAAAAGCAACCTTCAGTCAACAAGAAGCAAGAAGCTGAGGTCACTAGTCCAAAAGCCATTAGGAACTGAATGCTAACAACCATTTTGTTTGAAAGCAAACTGATCCTCAGTCAATTTTCAGATAAGACTATAACCCTGACTAAAGCTTTCCGAGACCCTAGGGCAGAAGGCCTTGCTAAATCATGCCTAGCTTCCTAACTAACAGAAGCTACGAGATCATAAATATGTGTTGCTTCAAGCCTCTAGGTATTTGCTAATACTGTTACACACAGTAGATATCTAATACAATATTCAGAAATAAACATTATTTTGAGTTGCTCCCAAAGCAAGTCTAATTCGGTAAGTTGGCAGGAATGATCATTTTCTATCATGTCATTTTCCACTAAAAGATCAGCAATGGCTTGCTGTTACCCACAGACTTAAATCTAAACTGCACAGCAATTTTGCCTAAACTATAAGATCTTTTATAAACTAGCCAAACCTGCTTCCTGTGTCCTCACCAGTCTCCTCTCTTTCTTATTTTCCACATAAAGTGTTTGACTGAACTGCTTTATCCTCATTTCCTTAGAAACTCCCGTGTTCTTAACAGTAGCACAGATACATTTGTCACTTTCAAATTATTTTATTTTTTTCAAACTACTTCAAATATACCATTATTATCATTAACTTTATGTGTTTAACCTTTTTAGTTTCACTGATCACATACATATGGGGTTGAATGAAGAATAGAAAGTTTCTACGTCTGTTAGGAACTTATGCTTAATATAAGGACAATGCACTTCCTTCTAATTTCAATTAGAACTTCCCTCTAATTTCAGTTTGTTGTCTGTAAAATAAGAAATAACATGTAAAATAAGAAATAAAATAAGAAATAATATATATATTGAAAAAAGTAAAAAAAAAACAAGAAATAACATGGCCTATAATCAAATGTACAGCGATCAGACAGGCATGTAAGATTTAACTTCCCAACAGAATGATTCCCTAGGGATATACATATTTATGTTGAGAGGAAGATCCAAATACAAACTCAACATTACTTACCCTTAAGTTCTTAATCTGCAAGGTTCCTTGTTCTTGTATAGTTGCTCTCGGATCTCTACCCAGGAAAGTAAATCCCTCCTTTAACCAGCTAATTACAGGAAGAGGGTCACCAGTAGCTTTACATTTCAGTAATGCTGTGCCATCAACTGCTAATGTTTGGTTGGCTGGGCCTTGTAGAATTATAGGTGGGGGTCTATCTGTCAAAACTAAAACACAAAGACATTTTCAGGATATTTTAACTTCTATGAAATTTAGAAAACTTTATATCATCCGTAGTCATAGCAAAAGTAAGATGAAAGCCCCAAAGTCAAACATATTACTTATACTTATTTCTGTATATTCTATACCCAATATAAATTTATCATCTACACATACTACACATATATCTGTACCTATTTTACTGAAGCCATGTTATTATTTACTATTTACTCTGACTTACCTGTAACTCAGATGATGATAAGATGATAATCATTCATAAAATGGCCAATTTACCTTCATAGTACCAGTTATGTTTTGTTTATATATAGTATTTTCATGATAATACAGTAGACTATAAATACTTTATTTCCAAAACGGCTTCATTGCTTTAAATTATGATAATAAAATTTGGGTGATATAATTTAATTAGTCTGCACAATTCAGCAAAAAAAAATCTAGTTAAGAATATATAGAGACAAGACAAAAATAGGACTTTCATGAAAAATTTGCATGTACATATATATCAATTCCTGTATTCAAGTAAATTTTCCATAATTTCATGAACTTGGGTCACTGTGCTTTTTAAATCAAATGTTGATTTGTAGCAGTATCATCGGGACCTTTAGAAGTATTATATAATGCTTTAGGAAGCATATCAAAATATACAGTAATATTTAAATGAGTGATGAAAATATGTAATCAATTAGAGGCAAGTTTTCATCTACAACTCATTAGAAGACCATGTCATATTGAAATTTATATCCAGGTCCAAGGAAAGATTTCTGAAAAGAAAGTTTTATAAACTTCACATAGGTTTTGCTTAATTATGTATATTTATTCTTTATTATATTTTTACTATATGTATATATTTAAATACATACATAACTTCCACAAAGAAAAAATAGTGAATTTGAATTACTGTTAAGCAACTGAAGAGTGTCTTTTCTCAAGAAAGTCATCTTGTATTATAATGTACATAATCAAAAAAAGTAATTTTGCTTATTAATGCTCTAATTTCCTTTGTCTACAAAGCTTCTACAAATACTAGTTTATATGTTTGTTTATTTTTCAGTCTAGATGCATTTTTATTGCTAGACTTTACAGTTTTAGGGAAAAATAGTAAAACAGCCCTTTCAGAGCCTACCATGAGAAAGCCAACCAGTTTTGATTTAAAACAGAGGCTATGATATATGTGTCCTGGCATGTCAAAATAGAGTGGACTTAAAGTCAACCTACACCTACTACATCAAAATATGTATTAAAATCTGTGTATATGTAGAAAATCTTGTAAAAACCTAAGGAAAACAGTATTCTCTATGTAGTCTTCACAAATAAAAATTAGAACCATTTAGTTCACTGATTTTCTTGATCAAATTTTTCATTTCAGAGGTCAATTAAATGAGAGCGAACATGAAAGTGTAATATTATACCAATTCTGACATATCTGGCAATAATTGTGCAAATAGTTATTCATGTTGAAAGCTTCATGGAATTTATTTAAGTCAAAAATTGAAGGCTAATTCTATAAACATTATGATTTTAAAATTCAGTGAGAAAAATGGGTCAGTATTAACAGAAAATAAGCTATTTATTATATTTTATATAATGTTACTTCTTTGCATCAAATGAAATATCTATATAGAATTCAGGCAACTTCTTGTAACTTGGTTTTACTATCATATCCATGAAATCATTAGATATAGGCAAAGGACATCTGATTAGTTTCTTTTTCTCTTTTTTTACTGCCCAAATAAGTAGCTCATTGTCTTGTAAATGGATTTGATCAATAAAGTAATTGAAAATCTCCTGGCCAGAAAGAACTTTCAGTTTCAAGGATGTTATGGGTGAAAGATGACCACAAGTTTCCATGACACTAAGGTCGGAGGTTAAATGAACATTTAGGGCTTCCAGTGATCTGTGAACAGTTGCATGGTTTTTTCTAACTATGCATTATAAATCCTCAGTAAACCATTCATACAAGATCATTGTGACATCTGTTGTCAATATTATATATAAATACATTTCTTCTCTCTAGTCCTTACAGATTCTATCGGCTCTACTCCAAATTCTCACTTCAATTTTCTACTTTTCTGAGAGAAAAAAGGGGAGAAGAAAAGAAATGAAGAATAGAGTTAACAAATTAATGAGAAAGTATTTTAAAGGGATATTTTGAAATTCAAGTGTATTAAAACATCTTAGCTCTATCTATAAACAGTAAAATTATCACTCAACAGTATCTTTCATCACTATTAATAATCTCCTCTCATGTGAACACTTGAGTTAAAAATATTTCCAAGAAATCAAGTACAAAAATGTAGTAACAGAAAACATTGCTATAGATGTTTTGCTTGTTTTTCTGAACATGACATATGTTTTCATTCTACTTTGGAACTTCATTTGGTTCTAAATCACCCTAGATCATACCAAACAACATGTTCAAAATGAAGATGATGGCTTACATATTATTAGACTGTTAACTAACCTGAAAAATTCAAAACTATGAATAAAAGCAGAAGTCGCCAGCTAATGTGTCATCAGCAAGTTAATATTTAGAGACAGAGTTATATAAAATAAGGGGTGTGTGTGTGTGTGTGTGTTTGGATATCAAAGTTATATTTCTTTACCATCAAAATCAACAACTCTATAACCTACATACAACCTTCTTGCAAAATGATCTTGACTTTGTGATTACTTATTCAAGTAAAAATCAATGCAGAAATTACAATTCAAACAAGTTGTAATAAAATGTTCAGAGCCATTTCAATTCAGGGTGGGATGGGATGAATTGGATGTATTCACTACTGATACTGTGTATAAAATCGAAATCTAATGAGAACCTACTGGAGAGCACAGAGAACTCTACTCCGTGCTCCGTGGTGACCTCAATGGGAAGGAAATCCAAAAAAGAGGGGATATGTGTATACACGTTGCTGATGCTGCTCTATAGCAGAAAGTGGCACAACAGTGTAAATCAACTATGCTCCAAAACAAAAAAAGTCCCCAAATTTCCTTATCACTCATTTTAAGTCTGACCACAGAAACAAAGCTATAATTACTACTGATTTGAAAGACTGTGTCACCAACAAACATAATTTCTCAAAACGAACTTTCCGTTTCATTGTTCTTTCATCGCTAAGTCATGTCTGACTCTGTGGCTCCATGGACTGCAGCCTGCCAGGCTCCTTTGTCCATTGGATTTCCCAGGCAAGGATACTGGAGTGGGTTGTCATTTTCTCCTCCAGGGGAGCTTCCAAACCCAGGGATTGAACCCGTATCTGCTGCATTGACAGGCAGATCCTTTATCACCAAGTCACCTGGGAAGTCCATCTCTTTCATTATATCAGGCATAATTTTGAATATCTACGTGTTTCATGACCCACAGCAGTCATATCAACTGGCTCTTCTATATCATCAATTTTGTTTTCTACAAATATGGTTTGCCTTCCTCATAACAACTTCTTCATTTAAAAACATTTAAAGACTGCCTCTTTTAAAATACCATGAGCAGCTGGATTACAGTAGAGCTCTTAAGCATTATATTTGAAGTGTTTCATAGTAGTACAGAAAAAAAATATCGTATTTTTCAAGTATAAGTTTCTGGACATTTTTTCTAGTAGAAGAAAAATAAATAAAATATTAATGATATATTTATATAAAATTTATATTTATAAATATTCATTATATATTAAAATATATATTTTATTAATATAATCATTAATATATTTGTTCTAGTAGGAAACATAGGAACTTAAAAAGATCAAAAGATATATTTTTATTTTTTAAAGAAATATGGATATTTGAAGGGTCAAAGGACATGCCCATCTAAAGCAAGAATTTCTTGGCACTGTTACCTGTGAATCTGACATCTTCAGTTCCACAGCAGTAAATCTCTGCCATATCAGCAGGTGTGACTCTTAATAACTCAATATCCCTGCAGCTAATGTTTATCTGTTCTGTTTATTCCCATTCCTGACATGGTGCTGAATCAGGCAATAGCATGGGCAGACATTAAAAAATATTGCCTTTCTATTAATTTTATTTTATTTTATTTTTTCCATTTATTTTTATTAGTTGGAGGCTAATTACTTTACATCATTGCAGTGGTTTTTGTCATACATTGAAATGAATTAGCCATGGATTTACATGTATTCCCCATCCCGGTCCCCCCTCCCACCTCCCTCTCCACCCGATCCCTCTGGGTCTTCCCAGTGCACCAGGCTGAACACTTGTCTCATGCATCCAACCTGGGCTGGTGATCTGTTTCACCCTAGATAATATACATGTTTCGATGCTGTTCTCTTGAAACATCCCACCCTCGCCTTCTCCCACAGAGTCCACAAGTCTGTTCTATACATCGGAGTCTCTTTTAAATGACCTTTTAATCTACATGTAAATTTGAACTGTATGAAAGCTCAGCAGAGAAAGAAGAGAATCAGAGAGGCCACAGCCCAAGCTCTTGGATCTCAGCTGCTAGCATCCAGGGTGGGGGAAGAGGGGAGGCGAATTATTCACCTCACAAATATAAGACAGCAAGAGAGAATTGTTAATCTAAAACATAAAAGAATATAGATTAAACTCATGCTCAGAGGTTCACAGAATATCTAAAACTCCCTACATGTCAACTGTCACAAAAGACCTTGCGAAAAAAAAAATCATATCATGAAGATATATTTTTCAACTTTCACTATGAATCAGGTGCTTCAGTTAAGATTTGTAATACATATATGCAAATGAAAAATAATTTTAGCATCCACTCATCACTTAAAGTTAGTGATACAGTCATGTCCGACTCTGTGATCCCATGGACTGTAGCCCGCCAGGCTCCTCTGTCCTTGGAATTCTCCAGGCAAGAGTACTAGAGTGGGCTGCCATTTCCTTCTCCAATTCATAGCTTGCAAGGTATTTAATTAATTTAACTTAGTGAAAGTGTAATTTAAAAAATCATAGGATTGTTGTTGCCATTTAGCTGCTACATCGGATCCAAGTCTTCATGACCTCATGGACTGCAGCACGCCAGGCTTCACTGTCCTTCACTATCTCCCGGAGTTTGCTCAAATTCTTGTCCATTAAGTTGGTGATGCTACTCAACCTTCTTATCCTCTGCTGCTCTCTTTTTTCTCTTCAGTCTTTCCTAGAATCAGCATCTTTTCCAGTGAGTCAGTTCTTTGCATCAGATGGCCAAAGTATTGGAGTTTCAGTTTCAGCATCAGTCCTTCCAATGAATATTCAGGGTTGTGAAGTCATCAGCCAATATATCATCAGCAAGTTAATATTTAGAGTCAGAGTTATTTACAATAAGTTACGTGTGTGTATGTGTGTGTGTATGTTTAGGTCTTGAAGTTAGATTTCTTTACTGTTAAAATCAATAACTCTATAACCTCCACACAACCTTCTTGCAAAACAATCTTGACTTTGTGATTGCTTACTTAAGTAAAAATCAATGCAGAAATTAAAATTCAAACAAGTTGTAAAAAAAGTGTTCAGAGCCATCACAATTTGGGGTGGGGTAGGATGATGTGATTAGCTAATTTAAAAAGTCATCTCTGTTTCCTGATATTAAAGATGGTATCTTTTCTTCTCTAGTAAAAGAAAGTTATCACTATTCTTTAGAAGTAATCATGTCAGCATAAGATTAGGTATACAGATGGCCTGCCTATTTCTATTTCACTAAAATAATGCATCGATATATTTTTTAGAATAAAATAGATTGTTTTGGATGTTCTTCCTGGGGAAAATAAATAGTGTAAATAGATCAGGGAGAATTAGAAACCATTAAAAATGTTATTTTACCTAGATTCAAACTTACAAGATAGGCATTAATTTCAATGATTTAATTAACAAATCAGAAAATTTCATCCTTTGAAATAAAGATAATTATTTTCAGAAAACAAATCTAATAATATCGCACCATCAGTAACTTCCAGTTGAGCTTTTGCTAAAATACTTCCTGCCACGGTGAGGGCCTGACAGATGTAGTAACCCGCGTCCGAACGCTGAATGTTGGTAATTGTAAGGTCCCCAGTTGGTGACACAGAACACCTACTGTTGGGCTGTTGGGGTTGGTTTGGGAAGAGCAGGTTCTGTGGAAACAAACACAATTTTATCAATATTCTCTTCTCACTCATTAGCAAAGTTATATAAACAGCTATTGCAATTAGAGAAATGCGGTTGAAAAAAAGAAAATACATATATTTAAAAATATGGTGCTGAAATGTTTAGATGTCACAGAGTGAGTTTCATTAGGAAATGTCATGCCCTCACTGAAGGAACAATCATCTAAAAAATCTAGGTCTTTATTCGGACATTTTATTTCCTCCCTGACTTTCTGTGAGTTACTGAATATTTCTGAAATATGGTTTCTCCATCTGTAAAATGGGCATAATAACACTTATCTGATGCAACACATAAGACACTGTGAGAATCTGGAATGTAACATTGACTATGTATGTGATTTATAAACTGCATATTCTGTTGATCTTTTTAACTATTTGATGTAATTAACTGAATTTCTTCTAAAGGTGTTCAAAAATGTGACTAAGACTGAGAGAGAGACAGCTGAATCTACTTCTGCTGTAAGAATTCTGCAGGTTGTAACAGCTTTGAAAGGAGCTAGGTATAAATGCTAATAAATGCTACCATCTAAGCAAGATTAACCAAACCACTGAAAATGTAAAGAAGATGTGGGATGTTTCTGAAGCATGCATATGATGCTAAAGAATTTTTTCACATTACTCTTCTTAAAAATGAAAAGTTCTCTAGTTTACTATATATCTTGTATTATTACAAACAGCTAAATCACAAATTTGTAAAAGTTCTTATAAGAAAGCAGTAATGTTAACTTGGATGACCTATGCTGCTTTATTGTTGTTCAATTAAGAAAAACATTTGGGTATAATAAATCATATTGAGATATGCTTCCAAGTTGGATTATAAATAAGGATGTATCAATTTTTATGTTGTATTTACTTACCAAAAAAAGAACATTACAACCCTCTGGGATCTGTTTCTCCATATAGTAATTAATTTTCCAGGTTTGTAATTAAACAGTTCCAATACGTTACAATCAGGAGGTAATAACATTCAATTAAAGGCATAAGACACATTTTCACCTTAAAATGTTTTTACCCTTGAAGGAATACCAATGGAAGAGGATAAAATAGGGTATTAACACTTTTCAATTACGCTAAATGACTTTAATCCTGCGAATGATGTCCTACTTTAATTAGAAGCTCTTCTCTTTATTGCCACATGATGGATGTCCACTTTATTAGATTCGAGTGTGACACTATAAGCCCACTTTACATAAACATTACCGTGTTATTAAACCCTTTCAAAAAGAAGTGGTATTTGCTAGCATGTCAGAAATATAATTTCAAAAGGCTATTGCCCTCCCATAAAATTTGTATTATTTACTATTAATACAGAAGGCTAGACTTTTTCATACATATAAAGCATAATTTGAGAAGAAGCTAATTCTCCTGTGGAGTCCAAATATATTACTGAAATAAACCATCTGAAGGAAAAGGGTCTAAATTTTAAAGCCACTTGAAAATGATAGAATAACTCAAAGTGTGCACTTTCCTACAATTATCCATTAGAATACTAATTTACATAGCACTAATACATCAGATGGGCTTAATTCTCTCCGGGATGTCTTCCTCTACAATGTATTATCAGTCCACCTTCTAAATGATTCGTTGACATGGAAAATGGCATATGATTGAGGTTAACCCATCATCTTTATTCCCTGCTTGTAAGACGTAGGCAAAAGGAAATGGATTACAAGCAAAAACCAGGAATTCTACAGAGCTCCTCTTGCTTGAAGTGCCTGGGTATCCTATTAGTGCTAATTGGCATTATCAGCACATATTGAGGAATATGGACCATTAAGTCCAGGCTCTTAACTCTCTCTCTACTGATGGATAGTCATAGATCACTGAAAAAATTGGATACTGCGGACAGTAAGACCGATTTATTTTTCCTAATGTACTAACTCATGATTTGAAAATTTACAATTTGCTCAAGCATTTCTCTTTTGTTCTCACTCACAATCTCCTTTCTCTCCCCCTTTCTATCTCCCTTCCTCCCTCTGCAAACCCTCTCTCTGATGTGAGGGAGATAGGTGAAGAAAACCAGTATATAATCAAATCAAATCAAATCAAATCACCTAACTGGAAATTTTCTTCCCAGAGATTAATTCTCTGGAATTAAAACATGCCACTTTGTCAAATAATAGCAAAAGAAATATTTTAATACTATTTGATCATTACTTGTATAAAAAAATTAAAACACAGTGTAGCATATTTAAATATCATGTTTATTGGGCCACAAGACCAATACACACTTTATGCAATAGCGTGTACAAAACTGGAGCATCTGAGGGCATGTAATTTACACATGAGAAAGCTGAATCTACATAATAGATACAATGAGATTTGACTGACTACATGATTTAAAGTGTGAATGTGCAACAATCAGATGGCTTTAGATCATTATATTTGTACCATTTATAAATAATATGCTCACGTATATATATTCACAATCAGTGGCTTGAGGAGGTAACTTCTGTGGACCCCACAGCCCCCAGAGTGGGTGGGGGAAAGAGGATACAGGCATGAAGTAGAAACTCCGGTGTCTCCAGGTTCAAGGCTCCCAGCCTTCTCAGGCATGGGGTGGGTCTGGGGACAGTGGCGACCAGAGTGTTACCGAGCCTCTGTGCCTGGGCAGAGGGAGCCCAAGCAGCCCGGCCTGAGCAGAACATAAACTCACCACTTCAGCCAGGAAGAAGGCGAGGCAGGTGCATTCTGCATTTTCCCAATTTCTAACCTTCAAAATGTGTAAAGCACTTTTACATATAAACAATCACATAATCTTCATAAATTATGTGAATTAAAACACTTTATCTTCATCTTTTGGATTAAAAACTAAGTTTCAGTAAAGTTAAACTGTACCACAATGATTATAAAATCATAAGGGAAAATGGCTTTAGAATTCTTTCCTTTTCTCAGGGTATGTGTGTGTGTGTGTGTGTGTGTGTACATGTTCAAGTGTGTTATAACTGTATCATGTTGCTTTACATTAGAGTTTGGGATGTTTTCATCCAAAAGCCACTTTTAAGAATCAAGGAACTCTAAGAGTAGAAATTTATTGCATAGTTGTTTGGGTGTGTTAGTCGCTCAGTCATGGCCAAGTCTTTGTGACCCCATGGACTGTAGCCTGCCAGGCTCCTCAGTTCATGGAATTCTCCAGGCCAGAATACTGGAGTGGGTAGCCTTTCCCTTCTCCAGGGGGGTCTTCCCCACCCAGGGATCGAACCCAGGTCTCCCTCACTGCAGGTGGATTCTTTACCAGCTGAGCCACAAGGGAAGTCCAAGAATATTGGAGTGGGGAGCCTATCCCTTCTCCAGTGGATCTTCCCAACCAGGAATTGAACTAGGGTCTCCTGCATTGCAGGCAGATTCTTTACGGACTCAGCTGTCAGGGGAGCCCAACTGTATCATTATTAACTGATAAAAAATGATGGCAATTAAGTCCTGGAACCATCCTGATGTGGGATGAGGCAGTGGCCAGAACTTTACCTTATCCTTTCCACCACTGTCTTTACATCCCACGAATTAAGGGGGAAGTGAGTCCAACACAGAGCACTGCAGAAAAGGAGAAAGATAAGTTGCCCATCCATACTGACATGCTAAAACTGCTGGCGTGGGGTGGAAGAGAGCTGTATGGGAATCTGGAAGAATGAAAAATGACAACGGCTGAGGGGAACTTCCTGAGAGGAACCTCCTCCGAGATGGTCTTACATGAGTTTTGATCTACGGGTTCTTTCAATTTCTTCTAAAGTGTTTTCTATCTCTGGCAAAATTTTTAGACTGCTTTTTTAGTCATCATTTCCTATTTGTCCAGGAAATTCATCTAAAACTTGGACTAACAACAGGGGGTGTTAGGAGTAACACCATGGTGTCCCTTCCTAAGGCCTACATGGCTCCTTGGGAATGCCTCTGGAGAGTCTAGAACGAAAATATCTCTAGGGAGTTCCCTAGAATTCCCTTGGGAATGCACAGATTAAATTCTTAGACAAAGAACTCAATTTCTATTCTGGTTTAAGGGGAAGTTCCACTCATTGCTTCAGAACCTAGAGGCTTGAGCTTGCCCAAACTTGGACCAAGTTCTAAATGAGAAAAGTGGTGCATTCAATTCAATTTGCTTGTAGCAGAGTCTAAGAGATCATGCTGCCCAGAGAGGGTCCTAGAGGAAAAATCAGGACACAGCAAAGATCAGACAGGTATTGCTTTCTTCTGCTATTTAATGTATTATTTCCTGTCTAATTCCACTATGAGGGAATCCAGAGGGATGAGGAAAGAAAATATTTCTATTACTCTTAAATGGAAGCATGTTTAAATTAATGATAAAGAAAAGGTATTTATACTATCTATTTATGAAAGGGGGTTGAAACTGGTTTCTAGACTAATTAATGACAGAAATATTTTTGACTATTTACATGTACCCAGGATGCTCTAAGCGCTTTATAGATTATCTCAATGTAGCTCAATGTAAGGAAGCATACTTCTGTTAAGACATTTTAAACAGCTGCAGGTTAGACTTTTTCAGGTAATTTAGTTACACTGTATTGTATCTCCTCTATGTAACATAAATTTTTTTAAAAATTAACACTCAAAAACAGAATGTTCTATTAAAACCTCTGAATCTCTCTTATTTTTAGAATCAACTGGTCTCTTTTTTAGAAATAAAATGCATTCAACTTTGATAATAAGAAAGGCAAGGCAGACTTTGAGGACAACCAGAGATGGGGAGCAGAGATTTCAGAAAGCAGTCAAAGCTTGCACTCACCTGGCTGCCTTCTTTTTGCCAAAAAACTGCTGGCTGTGGGTTTCCTTTAGTTTCACAGGGAAATGTCACTGTTCGACCTTGAGCGACAATCTGATCTCTTGGCCTAACCACAAACTGTGGAGGAGCTATAATTTAAAAGGAAAGAAAGTGTGTAAATATAAACTGTTGACAAAGAAAAATACATCAAAGGGAAAGTCTGATAGGAGGGGGACTGCTCAGTGCCAGACAGAGGCTACAGATGTTGATTTACTTTTAAGTGTTTCTCAAAACACAATGGGAAAAAAAAGAGCACTCTATCAAATGTGAGGACAGAAGTAAATGTATTAGTAGCCACATTTTATTTAATTTATTTTTTTTAGACATACTTTAAATGTACGCTGCAAATCTTGCAGCCCATATACTTGCAAAGGAAAAGTAGATTTTTTTAATGATATTCTAAAGTTTTTAATAAATAAACATGGTTTCCCCATATGGTTTTGTGTTTTGAATGAAGACAGAAAAAAGACACTGCATTATTCAAGTATCTACTTCCTGTGGCATCAATCTATTGACAAACATGAATTGCTCTTACAATATTTGCAAGACATTGTACTAGGCACAGGGATACCAGAAGGCATAGAATATAATCTCTATTCTCAAAGTGCTTAGAGTGCTTATATTCTAGATTTGAGGACTTGAAGTGTTGAAAACATCAAATTGAAGGTATGGGAATTACATACAGAGATAACTAACACTATACAAAAACACATGAAAGTGGTTGACTAATTCAATTCACTTAGATTAATAAGTATTCGGCAATTATTATGTTCCCCTACTGGGCACTAGAAACTGAAAATTATTCAAAATATTGAAATATCAATAACCTCAGATATGCAGATGATGCCACCCTCATGGCAGAAAGCAAAGAGGAACTAGAGAGCCTTTAAATGAAGGTGAAATAGGAGAGAGAAAAAACTGGCTTAAAACTCAACATTCACAAAACTTAAGATCATGGCATTTGGTCCCATCACTTCATGGCAAATAGATGGGCAAACAATGGAAAAAGGGACAGACTTTATTTTCTTGGGCTCCAGAATCAGTGCAGATAGTGACTGCAGCCATGAAATTAAAGGACAGTTGCTTTTTGGATGAAAAGCTATGACCAACCTAGACAGCATATTAAAAAGCAGAGACATTACTTTGCCTACAAAGTTATGACTAGTCAAAGCTATGCCTAGTCAAAGCTATGCTTTTTCTAGTAGTCATGTATGGATGTAAGAGTTGGACCATAAAAAAGACTGAGCGTTGAAGAATTGATGCTTTTGAACTGTGGTGTTGGAGAAGACTCTCGAGTGTCCCTTGGACTGCAAGGAGATCCAACCAGTCCATTCTAAAGGAAATCAGTCCTGAATATTCATTGGAAGGACTGATGTTGAAACTGAAGCTCCAATACTTTGGCCACCTGATGTAAAGAAGTGACTCACTGGAAAAGACCCTGATGCTGGGAAAGATTGAAGGCAGGAGGAGAGGGGGATGACAGAGCACGAGATGGTTGGATGGCATCACCGACTCAGTGGACGTGAGTATGAGCAAGCTCTGAGAGATAGTGAAGGACAGGGAAGCCTGGCGTGCTGCCGTCCATGGGGTCACAGTGCTGGACATGTCTGAGTGACTGAATAACAGCAACTCGGCACTGAAGATACACAGATAAAAGCATCTGTATCGCAGCCATGAAGGTGCTTACACTCTAATAGAAAAGACGAAACATGATCACGATGAAAACAATAACGAAATGAAAACAACAGTTCTGTAAGACTGTGGTAAGATCAACGACAGAGGTACTCTCAGAGCTCAGAGAAGCCCTTAAATTTTAGCATACATCATAAGTGTTCTAGGACTTTGGGAAGAAGGGATCCCTTTGTGTTATGGTAGCTGTAAAAGGCTTTATGCAGGGGGTAGATACTATGGAGATTTGGAGGAAAGAGTGGCATTTAGAGAAGTGGAGAGATGAACACATTCTAAAGAAAGGCGCTAACTGAGCAAAGCATAAGAAGTGAAAACACATCTAGTATACATTGAGTAATGCAGGAGGAATGGAGAGTCCCCACTGTATAAACATCACTGGCTACAAAAAAATGGATTTGTGTCAAGCCCTTCTTTTCAGTCTAAGAAAGGCCTGAGAAGCCAAGCTGAGGATTTTATTCTGGCTGCTTTTAAGCTAAGGAGTGATAAATGCAAAGCAAAAGTTTGGAATCTTTACCCCTATAATGAATGTAGTCTATAGTTTGTGAGGGAGTCAGGTTAGTCAATAAAGTAGGTTTTTTAATTGAAAGACCAGTAAAATGGTGCAGGCAAAACCAGTGATACCACGGTATCAGTAACTCCATTAGAAAATATAGGGATGGGATAAAAATGCTAAGAAAGTTCAGGTTTAAATTTGGGGCTAATTGTAAAGAGAAAGAAGAAAGTGAAAAGGAGGACAGTGTGTAACAGGAAGTTTTCACAAGGACATCATCTTCATAGCAAAACCCACTCCTGATGAAGAGAAAACAGCAGCTTTATTCCAAGACTTTTCTAATCATTTGTTTCCAGAGTAACTCCTTGCTTAATACTAGAAAACTTCAGACCAAGAAAAAATCTACAATGAACTCTAATTTTTAGAACCCGGAGTACATGGCTACAATCCCAATATTTGAACTCTGAAGAATTTTAACAATAGCACCATTCATTAAAGTCCTTCACCCAGAATTCTTCCAGTTGTTTAAGAGTACATAACTGGAGGTCCAAGAGTAGAATTAGTGTAGGGTAGCCTCAAACATCACCCAATTACTCATCCTTACAAGAAGATGAGCATAGAAACAGCAGCAGCAATTTTTTTTTTCCCCAAAAACTTTACTGAAACTTGTAGTGGCTTATTTTTCGGGGTTCTATTATACTGCTTCCTAATTCAACACACTCAGCACATACATTATGGGCTGAAGGAATAAATCTACTAAGTGAAATTTTCTTCTACAAATATAAATAACAGAACACTCAGTTTAACAGGATGGAGAACCCAGATTTATAGATCTATTTGAACAGAACGTGGTTTATGTTGCCCTATATTTTCAGGAGATTATGTGCTTCTTACAATCTTGTTATTTCTACACAATTCCACTGAATCAGTAGTATCATTGATTTTTGTTCTCTATGTTTTCTAACAAGAGCGATAGTTTAAATCAATGTTACAAAATTACTTTAGGAATGACTCTTAAAACACTGCAGTGTCCATTTCTCAATAAAGATGTGAAACCACCAGATACTTACACCAAAAATATTAAGATTGTTCTCTATAATCTGTAATATCTAAACAAAAATTATATATATTAAGAAAAATTTAAAGATAAATGTGTATTTCTTTACTTCTTTTAGTAATTCTATGACAAAGTTTACTTCCGAAATGGACATTAAGTAAGTAAGAAGTATTGAGTAACTTAGTTTGTATCTCATCATAAAAATAAAAGTCAGTAAAATAAAAATTAGTCTTTGATAAAAATCACATATACAGCTTATTAGTTCATTTGCATTGCTTTGGACAAGAAATAATCTAAATTGACTCTCATAAGTAGCTAGTAAAATAACAGTAAGAATTTAGAACTTCCAGATATTCAAGCTGGATTTAGAAAGGCAGAGGAACCAGAGATCAAATTGCCAGCATCTGTTGGATCATCGAAAAAGCAAGAGAGTTCCAGAAAAACATCTACTTCTGCTTTATTGACTATGCCAAAGCCTTTGACTGTGTGGATCACAACAGACTATGGGAAATTCTTCAGGAGATAGGAATAGCAGACCACCTGACTTGCCTCCTGAGAAATATGTATGCCGGTCAAGAAGAAACAGGCAGAACTGGACATGGAACAACAGATTGGTTCCAAATAGGGAAAGAAGTACATCAAGGCTGTATATTGTCAACCTGCTTATTTAACTTATATGCAGAGTACATCATGAGAATTGCCAGACTGGATGAAGCAGAAGCTGAAATCAAGAATGTCAGGAGAAATAACATTAACCTCCGATATGCAGATGATACCACCCTTATGGAAGAAAGCAAAGAAGAACTAAAGAGCCTCTTGATCAAAGTGAAAGAGGAAAGTGAAAAGTTGGCTTAAACTCAACATTCAAAAAACTAAGATCATGGCATCGAGTCCCATCACTTCATGGCAAATAGTTGGGGAAACAATGGAAACAGGGACAGACTTTATTTTTGGGGCCCCAAAATCACTGCAGATGGTTACTACAGCCATGAAATTAAAAGATACTTGCTCCTTGGAAGACAACCTCTGACGAACCTAGACAGCATATTAAAAAGCAGAGACATTACTTTGCCAACAAAGGTCTGTCTAGTTAAAGCTATGTTTTTTCCAGTTAGTGATGTATGGATGTGAGAGTTGGACTATTAAGAAAGCTGAGTGCCGAAGAACTGATGCTTGTGAACTGTGGTGCTGGAGAAGACTCTTGAGAGTCCCTTGGACTGCAAGGAGATCCAACCAATCCATGCTCTAGGAGATCAGTCTTGAGTGTTCATTGCAAGGACTGATGCTGAAGCTGAAACTCCAATACTTTGGTCACCTGATGTAAAGAACTGATACATTAGAAAAGACTCTGACGCTGGGGACAATTGAAAGCAGGAGGAGAGGTGAATGACAGAGGATAAGATAGTTGGATGACATCACTGACTCAATGGACATGAGTTTCAGCAAGCTCCGGGAGTTGGTGATGGACAGGGAACCTGGCGTGCTGTAATCCTTGAGGTCACAAAGAGTTGGATACAACTGAATGGCTAAACTGAACTGAGAGCCCCATATGCTCTATAAAGTCCTTCTTTGTATAATTTTTAAAATGTAATACCTGAGAATACACACTATTAAAATCCTCAGATGAAAGATTAAATGAAAGCAATGAAAATATATTTTATAATTTAAAGCATATTATACTTACTCTGTTTATCAATCATCCATCTATCTCAGTAAAATTACTAACTGTACTTTAATTATTTAACTACAGACTTCTTGCATTTGATTTTTCAAGCTTTCAAAAACCTTTGGGTGGATGAATGTCTTTTCAAAATACTTTTGGAATCTAGATCCTCCAATTTTAACACAACGGC